GCCACTGCTACTGCTACTGTTACTGCTACTGCTGCTGCTGCTGCTGCTGCTGCTGCTGCCGCTGCTACTGCTGCTGCTGCAGCATAGCTACTGCTACTGCTACCACTTCTACTCCTACTCCTACTCCTGCTGCTGCTGCTGCTACTGCAACTACCACTACGACTACTACCACCACTACGACGACTACTACTGCTGCTGCTGCTACCGCTGCTTCATAGGGTTGGTACTTTCGGTGTATTGTCCGCTCTATAGCAATCACGACAGCGGGAACTGTTGACAAGCATAGGGCGGTCCAAGCTTTGAGACATAAGACAAACTTCACCCGCTTTAGAGCTCTGCGGGCACAGCGGACACGACATGGGCTGTGTTGGATACAGTCCTCCGTGCACAGCTGCTCAACCCGAATCTCGGGCTCAGCGATGACCAGCGGCCTTGCTCAGCTTGCGTTTGGAAATCCCTGACTTCCCCATGTTAACATGCAGCATGTGCCCAGCTGAGAACAAATGAAAACTGGAACTCCACAAACACCACGAGGAACTCCTCCAGTGCAGCACGGCCGTACTTCAGTCGCAGCAAAGCAGAGAAAGCGCTGTAAGACTTGAGGCCAGGCGGGCCTGGCAGCTCAAACCCTTAACATCCCTTAACCAGCATAAGCGTGGTACTGGCAAGATTGTTTGTGCATATGACTGGGATGCCAGCTGCGTGATGTCCGATTTGGCGACCCCGACCTACCGACTTCGCAGGCTGGCGCTACGGGGATTTCGGGAGCTGGGCCTCCAACGGCTCCGCCGTCCAAACAGAGTCACACCAGTAGAGGCCCGACGAACTCACTCGCTGCTCCATAGCATAGATAAGACAGCAAAGCTATTGAGCCGCGTTGTGGCGTCGTTGAGTGCGAAGGCCCGCACCGCGCGCACCATCGCAACCCCACTGCACGGATCTGTTGCAAAAAGGCCTTGTATTCCTCGTCTCCGAAAGCACGCGACACGGCTAATCGGCCCAGCCTGCAGAGTAGAGGTCTCAATTTGAAGCGTACCGCTGCTCTCTGCTCCTCAGGCCCCTCAGGCCCCGGCACGCGATGGAAGGAGACGAAGCCACCGGCCTGGAAGGCCCAGAAGCATTGCAGCTGTGCACTCTGCCTCAAACCAGCGCAATATCCCGGAGCCTAGAGTCTAGTGCCAGACATTGTTCTGAGCCTCAATTGCTTGCACCCTATATAATTCTGCCTCTTCGATTCGCTTCGCTTCGTCTGCACGACTGGGCTTGTGGTCCAGGGAAAGCTGCAGGGCGCGACCTGGCTTGGAGTGGCGGCTGTCCGCCGGCTGTTCCAGGTTTTCAGTTCAGGCCTCCATAAAGCTCGGTCCTGCAAGCATTACAGAATGTTTGTACCCTCAGGTTCTTCATGGCTTCCTGAGGGGAACTCTAAGTTCGTTGGCATTGGCGCTGGCCACGGATGCAGCTGTGCGGAACGGCTGCTGAAAACTATGCTCCAAAATGCTGGTGCGGTCGCTCCCTCCTGCTTGCATCATCACAGCTGCACAGGCAGCGAAAACCATGCGAAAACCGCTACACCGGCTGAAATCTAGAAAACTCAGCAGCAGCGCCATTGCGACATAGCAGCGCCCGGCTGTCGCCCACATTGGCACACCAAACCCAGCCGCCGACCTGGGTTGAAGACACCTAGTTTGGGGCTGGCTCGTTGCTGGCATGTACGCCATTGCCGTGGAAGATATTGCACTTTCCGCCTGGGGGTCGAGGAGCGTGATTCGGGGAAATGACTGTATTTGCGGAGTTTTGCACAAAGCAGTCTTGTTCGGAAGAAAAACCTACGAGGTCGGCAAGGGAGGTTGCTTTGGTACGAGCTCTGCGCACGCAGTGACTAGTGACTAGCATTCGCGTTGCTGCAAAGCTGACTCTCACACTTATGCCACAAGCCTAGTGTCGGCAAGCGATAAACTTCATGACAATGCAACGAACAAACAGTTTTCAAACCATACTTTTGAGCCAAAACCACAGCAAAAGCCACACATGAGTTCCTGAACTCGCTTGGCCTTTCGCCGCGCCTAATGGCGTACGTACCTTGTTGCTGCCATTGATACTCAGAACGTTCCTTCTTCCTTCGGTCTGGGCCGCCTTATCTTTGAAACCGAGGCAAAGACAATGCAAGCCACGACAGCGGTGCTGCCGGAGCCGCCGTTCTCCATGCCCTGGCATTGGAGCACTGGACGTCAGCACGAGGGTGCTGCGTCTGACAGCTCTCGAAGCTGCATTCCCCTGGTGACTCGAGCCTCCCTGCATCCCCCAAAGTACCCGAACCCAGGCTCCGGCCTGGGAAAGTCCCAAAAACTGCTGATCAGTTTTCAGGAAGCCCTGCAGGAGGCTGTCATGCAGGTCCTGGTGCACCTCGCAGAAGTTCCATAGTCGAATTGCAGGTTCATCTGCTTACAGCCATGCTTGAAGCTTGGGCGCTGCCTTTGGAATTGAGTTTGCATGCTTGGAGGATGAAACACGGCCAGCTCGAAACCAGTCTTGAAATGAACAGAGTGATCGCATAAGCACGAAGTGTGAAGACACTTGCCTAGGCCCTATAGTACAAGTGCCAGCACGATGTAAAATCATAGAAAATCATTCTCATTCAATCTCCAAGACGAGCAAGCTTGTTGCAGGTCGAAAAGAACTGCTTGGAGCACTTGCGATTCGGGCCAGGCAAGTCCGACGGCCTGCAGCGACTTGTCCAACCCTCCTCTGGAGTGGAGAGCGGCGATGATGTTGATGTGTAGCCGTCGGCGCCTTTGTCACAGCATGGTGTGCGTGCGTGCGTGCGTGCGT